GGTAACGAGAATGTTCAAACTTATCAGGTAGAAGTTGTTGTCTTGATCTAACACTAAATTCTTGTAACTGATTTGCAAGGAAATGTGTAGCAGCCAGAGGGGAGAGTTAACAATCAGATCTTGGGAACTAAAGTGTTAAATAGACTCTTATTTAAAATTTTGTAGACCTGAAGTATGGGCAAGGAAGAAGGCGCACGAGATAGTAGCTGCTCGTGACGCTGCTGATGCTGAGGCTGCTGCAAGGGGTGAATCTGTGGATGAAGGAGAAGACATTGGAGATTTTAAACTGAGTGAACTTAGAAGACTTCCCTGAAACATGTTCGTTTGTTGTAATTATATATATTTTTACCAGAAACATTTGAGGCAATTAATACAGTGAATTTTGGCTAATTGTGGCAAAATGCAACTTCAGTTTGAGTATAGTAACCTTTCCTTGTTAATGGCTGTAATCATCTTGTGACTGGTTTTTAAATCACAGTGCTCTAGTGAGCTGTAATAGATATACCACCTGGTTTTTCAAATTAATTGATATTACACTTTTGTTGGATGAGATAATCACAGACTCGTCATTTCCACTAGGACGTCTATTAGGAAATTTCAGGAAAGAACAGCTAATTGTTGAACTTGGCTTTACAATCTTAAAAGTGCAAAGCATTGGTCAACTTAGATGTATAATGGGGTGATGCAAAGCATTTGCCTTTGTATCTGAATTTTCCAGTTTGTTGTCATTGTTTATTTCTGTGTAAATACCACCCCAGGGGCCAGTTTCTAGAAGGTCCTGCTAACTTGACAGGCCCATAAAGCTGTTCTGTTTTCATTCAAAATAAGGGTTTCAAAAATTTTGAGAATCATGCAATAAAATTAGCAGCTTGAAAAACAAAATTGACCAGTTAGGGTGCCAGAACCTGCTTCTTTATTCTTTAACTTTTGATGTTTTAATATGTCTTTGGGCCCATTAAGTTGCTGGAACTCTCAAGAAATAGGCCCTTGCAGATAATCACAACTTGCCTCACAATGTTGTGTGACAATGACAAAACAGTGGTAAAAGTGAAGTCATATTGGCAAAGGATAATATTTTACATGTGATCTTTAATAATGGGTCGGTTATTTTGTTCAGGTTTGTTTTGATCTCAAGGTAACATTTGTAAATAAATGTGGTAAAAATAGAGGAAGTACAGTCAAACCTGTATTAAGCAGCACCATATTAACCCTTCCACCCCTAAGAGTGACCAGCATCTAATTTCTCCTCACAATATCACCTCTAAATCACACATTAAGGTCTTGAGAATAAAGGAAATGGTCACCAACTAGAGAGGCTTTGGATTATTGCGCACATTCTCCTTGTCAGCACCTGAGGAAATGTATTGGGAACAGTATGGAGAATATGCATACTGATATTAGGATATAAACAGTTAAGCTGTCATCCTGTAGTTCCAAAATAATTTTCTCTAGACACTGTCAGATAGGTTGAAGGTTGGACTTCCATCTCTCAAGGCTTATTTCAAGGTATCATAGTAAAAATGTGTGATGCTCACGTGGTTTTATTTTATGCGAGATCTACTTTTTTATTAAAGGATACAATCAACTTTTCTTATTGAAACAATTCAATTAGAATACACAATTTTTAAAAGCGTTCATTTCCTAGTCGGAGGCGCCAAAAAAAATTTGTATGTGATCGAATATAAATTTGATGTGCAAAGCGAGACTCATGGTTAATTTCTCACCTTTAATGAAATTTGTTTACTCAAGGTGTTTTATGATCAATAACTATTTACATAAGCGGCCGCCGATGGGTGTAACAGGCAGCTGAACCCGGAAAAGGGGTCTGGGGGCAAGCTAAACAGACGACAATAGAGATCTTATAGGCGGCGGTATACCACCCGTAACCTGCTTTTATTGAAACCGCTGTACTCAGTTTTTTGAAAAAGTCCTCAGATAACGACTGATTTACTAGAGGACAGCGATTTATTTCGTCGAGCGAACCAGAAAACGAAATAATAATTTTCTACTCATCTCTCGGCATATCTATTTCACTTAGTTGATTTTTTTTCTTAGCTTAAAGGACAAGTACTGATATCCGCTTCTTAGAAAAAAAGTTTCGGCTGATAGCAGGAGTGATGATAGAACTACTGGAGGATTTGGATTGTGTCACGACATAGATAAAAATGACTAGTTCTGCAATATGTTCCTCTCTCATTGACAGTTAATTGGCAGTCAATTTTTTAAAGTCCCCCTCTATACTCCATTAGCGAAGCCCCTCTTTTTTCCCCCTATGATATGGGATGCCATCACCATCCGCATCAGCAACTAAATTGAGATGCTTTCCGTATTTTATTGGAAAAAAAAAAGGCAATCTCTGCCAGATTGCAATGTTGAATCTCTGCACATATTTATCCGTCACACTTTAATTTAATTTAACTTTACTTCTCAGTTGAAACATCTTTCCCTTAACACCGTTATCTATTCAGTTCAGATGATAACATGGTTACTGCGGTGGTGGTACCTCTTCAATCATAATCCGGGACACTGAATTCCATCCTGTGTAAGCTTCGCCCAGTGGAACCCTAGCGCACTTGCCTACCCAGAGTTCAACCCGAACCGTGCCTTGAGGAAGATTCTCACAGAAACCTTCGAAGAAGTGAGGATGGTGGATTCCAGACGGTGGACTACTACTCCAGCGGTTGAAAAGGACTGAGTCAATCGGCATGGGACCACTGCATTCGTTGCCGTTAAACTTGAAATACCATCTGTTGCATTTGGCATGAGAATATTCACGAATATTGCCTTGGTATGAGACTTTAAGAGTCGTATTGATGTACAACTTGTTGAAGGAGCATTCCTGGAAAAAAAATATATAAAAACAGAAAAATTAATTCTATGTAGAAAAATGAACACATATCTTCGTTCGACACAAACTATTTTTCAGCACTGCAAATTTAAGAAATGTGAAAATGGAGTCTGTGAAATGGAGTCTGTTGCTAATGAGAACCGTCTTTATACATATAACTTTTAAAACATTGTATTTCCTAGGATCACCAGCTCTTCAAATCCGTCGAAATCAGGCTCA